AAAAAAAAAAAAAAAATAGGGGGAAAATGTTAAATACTTTATAGAGTCCTTAACTGAGATTAAGTGCATGTAAAGTGCTTAGTGGAAAACTTGCCACCATAAAACTTTATCGTTCTTCTCTGTGGTCTAAAAAAAGTATGTCCCTACCTTGAAAATAAATCTATTAAAAGGTAAGGTTAAACTTGTTAGGCTCAAATTGGAAGATTTACTGGCTAATAAGAAGTTAAAGGTACAGAAATAAAAGTAAGGAACAGAAGAGCCTCTAAATTTCTGCAAGATTGACTTTCTTTAGGTCAGTTGGTAATATTAGTTATAGGTTACCTCCCTAGCTCATATACCTTTCTCACATATGAGTAAATCACAAAAAAATCAAAATGGCATTTTAATCAGGACTATGCTTAACTCTCCTTTGTCTATTCAAATCTGTATTATCTAAGTATAGTTTAAGTTCCTAGATTCTTCATGAACCTGACCTCTCTGAATAATCTCTTTCGTTCCTAAAACAGCAACTGTTATACCAAATTGGCATATCTTCCACAACTTATTTACTATACTTTGCTACTTCCTTTTTTATGTCTTTTTTCCTCCAAAAAGTTTAAGTTTATACAGGTACAGAACCATACTCCATACCTACCCAAACCTCCCAAACACTTGGAGATCTAAACAGTGCTCATTTGCTCCTGTTTTAGCAGGAACTTTCTCTAATTACAAAATCACAGATGTAAAAATATCTTAGACTCAACGTCTTCTAATACAAAGGAAGAACACATTTTTCTGAACAGGAAAGAAGAAAACACACATGTGCACACACACATATACACAGGCAGCAAAAGAAAAAGTATTTCAAGTTCCAAGACCAGAGAAAAACATGTGGGAACCTGAGCAGGCTAATAATGAACATCTTCAAAACAACATTTTAAAAATATGTGTTCAACACTTATTCAGAGAGAAGCCTGAAGGTTGCTGAAATCTGAAGAAGCCAAAGCAGATAGAAGGAAGGCAGCTGCATGTGCTCAATGCCTCCTAAGGTGGTCCTGCCTAATTCATCTCCAGTCCTAAATTTTTTTTCTCAGGAATCAACTTTATTGAGTTTTAAATTATATACAATGAACCATTCTCACTTAAAAGTATAGAATTCTATGAGTTTTGACAGTTGTATACACTCATGCAGCCTCCATCACAATCAAAATGCAGAATATTTCCATTACCCCAGTGATTCCTTCTACCCTTTGCAGCCCCCAGGTCCAGGTAACCACTGATCTACTTAATTAAATAGATGAGTTTGAATTTCCTAGAATTTCATATAAATGGAATCATACAGCATACACCTTATTGTGTCTGGCTTCTTAGCAGTTCTGAGATTAAAACACATCGTCTGTATGAGTAACTTGTTCCTTTTTATAGCTGGGCGGTGTTCAACTATGCAGACAAACCACCTTTTATTTATGTAGTCACATGCTGATGAACATGTGTGTTGTTCCCAGCTTTTGGCTAATAGCAGTTAATTTTAAGCTGTGTCAGGCTTGAGGACCAGGACAAATAGTCCTCTTGTCCTCCTGACCTGCCTCCTGATTCCAGCCCAGCTCCATGCACATCTAAGGTTTTTTAAATTAGTTATATCAATTTGGTGATTTAGTGTGTTATTAAAAGTGATTTCCCCAAGTCCTGAGGTGTTATTTTTTTAATACCAGATTTTTCTTATAATAATTTACCATTTCCCTAAATGTCTCTTGTTTTTTACTGTAATATTTTCCCCCAATAAATACATTTTGTCGCATATTTTTAAGCATTGTGGGTTTCCCAGGAACCAAAAAAGTAATAAATTTTTTTTAATTGAAGTATCATTGAAATACAATCTTATGTTGGTTTCAAATATACAATACAGTGGTTCAACAGTTACCCATATTACCAAATCCTCACCCCCTCTAGTGTGGTTACTATCAACATAGTAAGATATTACAGAATCATTGACTATATTCTCCATGCTGTACTACCATTCCTATGACCAACTTATATTGTGATTGCAAATTATTGTGCTTGTTTATCCCCCCTCACCTGCCACCCACCCACTCCAACCCCTCCCTCTTGATAACCACTAGTCACTTCTCAGGGTCTATGAGTCTAATACTGTTTTGTTCCAGCGCTTTTGGCTTTTTTATATTTCAAAATTAGTGAAATACAGTATCTGTCTTTCTCTGCCTGGCTTATTTCACTGAGCATAATACCCTTTAGCTCCATCCATGTTGTTGCAAATGGCAGGATTTCTTTTCTTTTTATGGCTGAATAATCCGTTGTGTGTATGTACCACATCTTCTTTATCCACTCATCTATTGATGGACACTTAGGTTGCTTCCATATCTTGGCTATTGCAAACAGTGTGGCAATAAACATAGGGGTGAATCAGGGATTTTGTTTTCTTTGGGTAAATTCCTAGAAGTGGGATTGATGGATCGAATGGTATTTCTATTTTTAGTTTTTTGAGGATCATCCATACTGCTTTCTACAGTAGTTGCACCAATACACATTCCCACCAACAGTGTAGGAGGGTTCCTATTTCTTCGTATCCTTGCCAACATATTTCTTGTCTTTTGGATAGTGGCCATTTGTCTGGTATGAGATGTTATCGCAGTTTTGATTTGCATTTCCCTGATGATTAGCGATGTGGAGCATTTTATATATGCCTGTTGGACATTTGTATTTCTTCTTTGGAGAAGTTTCTGTTCATATCCTCCACCCATTTTTTCATTAGGTTATTTGTTTTTTAGGTGTTGAGGCATATGAGTTCTTTATATATTTTGGATATTAACCCATTAGATGAATTGTTTATGAATATATTCTCCCATAATGTAGGATGACTTTTTATTCTGCTCAGTGTCCTTTGCTATACAGCTTTTTAGTTTGATATAGTTCCACTTCTTCATTTATTCTGTTCCCCATGTCTCTGGCCCTAAATTTGTGAGTCCTGACTCAGCAAAAGGCCCTGGCCTTAATCTGAATTACTCACCTCAGCAGGCAGTTTTGAATGCCCTTTGGTGGTCTCAAGCTCTAGCTCAAACAGCTTATAAAAATATTTCCCAAAGGCACATATAATACTCTCTGTGAGTGGATTTTTAGAAAACAATTTTTGCACCTTGTTTCATTTCCAGTGAACCTTCAGAATTCTGAGAAGAGGCCCAGCTGGCCCATTCCTCAATCCAGCTCAGTGAGTTGCATGAAGAACTTGGCCTGATTAGAAGAGAAGCCAGAAAAAGTATGTGCATGTTAATAAAGTAGTGTAAGATATTTGTGGGTCATATGACTGTCACCCAGAAAGAAAGAATTCAGACTGTATTAAGATACAATAGTGAGTTGTTCTAGATTTGATAACACATTGATTTTGCTATTTAAAGAAGACTAGTCTATAAAACTCTTGAAGGGTCACCTGCAGTTAAGAGAGTAACTAGAAGTCTCCTGCAGAAAACTAAAGTGAGATGATTATAAGCCTGGCCATTAATGGGGAATAACAGTCTTCAGAAAACTTCTGAAGGGATTTGATAATCATCTAGTAACAGAGGACCTAGGAAAGAAAACTAATATTAAGTCTCTGCTTTGGAGCAAAATGTTACTTTGGAGTAACATCCAGATATTGAGGACAGAGTCACAAGACTAGAATCTAAGTAAGGTATACTGACTAAGGACATACATTTAGGAGTTACCAACATGGTTCAAGATTTTATACAAAAGACAAAGGAAATTAAAGTATTCCACCAAAAACATTTTTATCAGTAAAAAAGGAGCAATTACAAGGTTTTGTATTCAGTTTCTGAAATACTCTCTAATCCAAAATAATACATTTCTGGATGGTGTCAGATAACAGAAACTTCTGTCCTCCTTCCTCTTTTCCCCAGACCATGCGTCCTCCCTAAGATGAAGTCACTCATATCCATTTCTTTTACTTATAAACTCTAGGCTATTGGCTCCTGTATTTGTTTCCCATGGTTGCTGTAACAAATTACCACAAACTGAACTTTGTAACAACAGAAAGGCATTCTTTCATAGCTGTGGAGGCCAGAAGTCTGAAGGCAGAACAAAATCAAGATGTCAGCAAGGCCTTGACTCCCTTTAGAGTCTGGGGAGAATGCACCCCTTGGATTCTCCAGTTTCTGGTGGCTGCCCAGCATTCTTTGTTTTACGGCCACATCACTCCAGTCTTCAAGGCCCACATCTTCAAACCTCTCTCTGCTCCATCTTCACATCATTTTCTCTGTGTGTGGTATCTCCCTCTGTCTCCATCTTATAAGGACACATGTGACTGCATTAGGGCTCACCTGGATAACCCAGGATAATCTCCCTATCACATCTATAAAGATGAGCCCTGCACCATTTTGGGCCATTATGAGGTAACATTCACAGGTTACAGAGATTTTTCGGTTGTGGATATATTTTGAGGGGGCACTTTGCAGCCTACCACAGTTCCCAGCACATCCTCCAGCAACCCAGGTAACTCCCCACAGATCAGCTGACTCTTACAGCCCACACGTTAGTACAGTTAGATATCCTAAAAGAGCCAAAAAACCTTTTTGTTCCTACTTCTCGTTTCAATTCTTTTTTCGTTTGGGCTGTGTGTGTGTTTTGTTGTTAATGGCATACCCATTCACCCAGGCATCCAACTCAGAAACGTTGTCATCATTCTAGACTTCTCTTTCTTCCCTAATTCCCACTATCACTATATCCTACAGACCCTAGCTCTTAAATTTCTTTCAAATCCATCTATTCCTCTCCATCCATTACCACTGTCCTAATTCATGCCCTTTATTTCCTTGCCTCATCTGCTAAACATTCACCTGCCTGAACTTCCTGAATTCAGTTTCATTCTTCTCCAATCTAATATCCACATCATCTTTAACCTGGTATTCTGAAAGGGCAAGTCCCAAGTTTGCTCCTACATAAGATCACTGATGGGCTCTCTGCAGCACAGAGTTGAATATCAATTCCTTACCACGGATGAGAAAGACCTGCCATGATCTGCTACTTACTCACCTTGCTAGCCTCACCTCTCACCATTCTTCCTTATAACCTATGCTTCACCCACATGCAGCTCTACCAGCAGTTCTCTGAACATGTCAATCTGTTCAATCTCTATACACATTTATTCTGTCTTCACATAGTCTTCTTCCCTTCCAGTTACCTAGTGATATCGTTTGACGCAATTCATATTTCATTTCTTCTGTTCAATGTCCTCAAAAGTATTTTTCTCCCTCACTTAAAGTTTTAACTCTACACTGCATCACAATCAGATGGTATTTTTATTATTGGTATTGTTCAGGGGGAGGATATATTTGCACAATGCAAAAAAAATACAAAAGTACTATTACTTATATGCCTGACTTTAGCTCCACCTCACAGGCAGGGATTATATGTTTTATTCATGTTCATTTTCCTAGAACATGTATTCAATAAATGTTTCTTGACAAATCCTTTTTTCTTAATTACAGAAGCAATACTTGCCCATTTTCTAGAATCCAAAACACACAGTAATAAAGACAATTAAAAGTGGTCGTGATCCCCATCACCCAGAAATAACTACTGGTACATTTTTATCCTGTCTTTTTCCCTTATCCTATTCTTGAAGATGCTCTCTAAGAGAAACTCTTACAGCAATTTTTAGCTTTAAGGCTAAATTTAAAATACAACCTACCAATTCCTTTAAGTTAAGTATAGAAGGTATTTAGTCTATAGATTTGGTTGGGACATGTGCAAATTCAGCTTACTTCATTTATATTTTTTTGTTCTAGATATTCAGATTTCTTACATCCAAGATCTATAAAAATAACATTTTAAGAAAGAAATTCAAAGCACTCTTATCAGTAGTTAAATAGCTTTATATATTTATAAAGCATACATGATTTTTAAGAACAAAATTTAAAACAAAACATATGCTGTGACCCATTCCTAAAGTATTTTACCCATTTTGTGGCCCAAATACCAACTGCACAAAAGTATAATAGTCCTTATATGTTCCCAAAATCAAACACCAAAGTTTTCAAAGTCTGAGTATTTCAGAAACTTATTCTAGTGATCTTATAATTTTGTTTATTTTTAAATGTCATGCTTAATTATATATTGGCATGGCTGAAAGAGACAGTGAAGTCTCTTCTCTTTCCCAGATCTTTAATTCTCCTCCCAAAGTTGAATCAGAATCTTAATTTTTAACACCACCCTCAAGGAAATGGAGAACTTGCTACAATTTATTTCAGAGACATTAACTGGGCCACATTTTCTCTGTCTATTGTGTTTCTTGTTTCTTATTGAAAGGCATGGTCTTTTTGTGCAGCTAGAGAGGTAAAGACCTATAATTCAGTCCTAGCTAACTCTATTTCTCCAATGGGGTTTGAGGCCAAGACTCCAGATGATAAAAAAAAGTGCTACCCTGCCTTTCTTAGTTCTGTGTGCAGATGACATTCTTGAAAGAGAATCTTGTATAAGGGGTGTTACAGGATGGGACTTAGGAATTCATCTATGTTCTAAGAGTTATTGTGAGACAGTAATATTTCCATTTCCATTTGGAAAAGATTCACCCAGCCATCTGCAGATAAGACTCTGTAAACAGACAGCTGTTTGCATTTGACAATATGACCATTAATTTTCTTCTGTATTAATCACTCACTGTACCTTGTACACAGGAGGCACTCAAGTACTTGTTAACTAGTATTCACAAATCTCCACAAGCGCAAGGTTTCCATGAAAATTAAAAATGACTCAAAGCAATTTTAGCTCTCTCTATAGTATGATTACAATAATACCTATGACTTTTGGAGCACATTATTATGTACCAGACACTTTACACAGGTTAATTTATATATTATACTTTATAATACTACCTACAGTCCTAAAGTATAGTCATCATTATTACCAATGTATACATGCTCAGATAATTAACTTTCAATTTCCAGAGCTAGTTGGTGAAACTAGTATCCAAAACTCTAGGTCTTGTCTAACTCCAAACTTGTCTAACTCCAAAGCTCATGCTCCTTTCACTATTCTGGGCTGCCTCTCTCATTCAATAGAGAGTGGTACAAAAACAACTGGTAGAAGTCCTTCCCTTACTTCTGGAGAAGAATTTGAGGACAGTCAAGACTCCCCAAGTGGAATGACCTTGATTCATCTGTCTATACATACGGTGACATTTTAAGAGTCAAACCTAAAAGACTAATTAGAACAATATACATGTCTTACCAACCAGTCCATTCCATCAAAGGAAACTGGAGATTTCTGCCATTTACTCTCAGCAGCAATCACAAATTTTTCCAGAGTTAATAAACAATGATTCAGAGAAAAGTTTTTAAAATTTGTACAGGTCAAGTCAGAACTTAGAATGATCCAAAAAAGTCTCTAATTAGCTGGACAACTTCCATCTCTTTTTTTGAAATTTAGACCAAAATGGAATAGACTGTGCCTTTACTTTTGATTTGTCCTCAAATAAAGCCTGAACAAAAGTCTCCCCTTAATGTATGGATCATCTCAGAAACATCTCACACAAGTAATGTACATGTGGGTATTCATTAGGAAATATTTCTTGAAGTACTAAAGGTTGTATAATCCTATCCATTAGGACACTGTCACTGCTCTGCAGGTAACTTATTAATATAACAATCCTGTCACGTGGTGCTCAAAATTAAAAAAGATGATTTTTCCTGTTTCAGACCTGTGGAACTAGTTGTCCATTATCTATGAAGAGGCATGTCTATGTGTACCTGACTGCAAGGTATTTCCTGCTGGCTCAGGTATTTCCAATTGCCTTAATTAAGAGAAACAAAGACTTTATTCATTACCCTCATTTTCAGCAGCTTCTGGATGTCCCAAGCAATAACATAAGCATTACAGGTAAGAAGAAAAAAAAATACTTCAAATTACAAAATTCTTTTGGTTTCAGGCTCGTGTTAATATATAATTTCTGTTCGAATCTATAAAAATATGCCCAGGATTCAATTCCTGTGATTTCATTGCTGAACTCTCTCTACCTTAAAATAAGACTACCGCTGAAATTACAAAATTACTGAAAATTTTTAATGACATATATCTTTTGTTAATAAAGCTCTCCACTAAAGTTACTTGTACTAGATGTGTACCAAACTGAATATACAGTACTACAAGTAAGTACTATGTGAATACTACATATTCACATGACTATGTGTACTATGACTTATAGTAAGGTTCACTATTATCACTGGCTTAATTTACGATGC